TATGCTGAAATTAGAAGAAGGAGAATCTCAGTTACCGTCCAACCCTTTTTGTTTAAGGTCATGGACCATAGCTCCATGACGTGGAGAAATCTCTCGGGGACAACCGGTTCAAGGCNGTTGACCACGAAGGTTCGGCAACCGTTGCGTACGGTAACGCTTAGTTGCCGAGAGCGACGGCGAAGGGCCCTAGCACCTCGCTGCTGTTGGTTAAGACCAAGTCTGGATAGGCTGTAACATTTTTCAGTTATTCTCCACGCACCTGCTGCCGATTGAGCCCGTTCCTTCCGCACCACGTAGCCAGGTGTATGTAGCCACGTCCTTGCACCCTAGCGAGGAGCAGCACTCTCCTGGTGGGCTCCACTGCCTGCGTTTGCGGGGCGGCGTGGTGTCATGCCCAGGGGTTTCATATGTGTATGCGAAGCATGTTTTCTGGCGCGAAAACCCGGCGCGCATAGCGGACAGATTTTATATAGGAAATTTTGGAGTGATCGGCCTATGGTTATTATATGTCATAGTCTTTGCAACAACATCAACACGCACCACGCCCCCATAACAAGGACACCGAGGGAGGGAAGGAGGAGAGACAGAGGGAGGGAGACAGCTTGATCCAGTGGAGACATAGCCGGGGAGACGGAATCTCGACCACGATGTCGCGACGACGGGTAGTTGTGAAGCAGCAGAAGCCTCAGGGCGGCGGTATGCAGGCTGCTATGAAAGAGGTGCGATCGAAAACGACGGTAACATAGCTACGAGACTACCCACTTGCACAGCCAAAAGCCCTCCCCTTACGCAGCGAGCAGCAGTCCCAAGCACTCCTATACATATAGTGCTTGTCATATTCTGAGCAGGTGGTTAGAGCGGAGCCCCGCGGGCCGTCGTTTCTTCCCAAAGGCGGGCAATTTTTCCTTCTTCGTTTTTGGATGAAACAGGTGTTGCCGGCAAACGCACAGCAGCACTCGATCTCCACCTACAGCAGTGTATCATTGATTGACAGCAGGCAGACATGGTGGGGGGGTGTACTCATAGTCGTGCATGCCTTAGTCGTTAGACCATTGACCTCGCATCCCTACAAAGCCGGGACGGAGCACGCCGGGTTCGCACCGGACCAGGCTCTCACATCACCAAGCGCGAAGCGCCGTGAGGTATTCGGCGAGTCGCATGAAGGGTGCGCTGCAAAGTGCTAAGGGTGTTCGGCATCTTGTGCTTACTTCCTTGCGGATGACAGCTGCGTATGACTTAATCTATTTTCTGGTGCTTTCACTTCCTGAGACAGTTGTAAGCACTGCTGTGTAATTGCCTCGAGGGTGCTTGACCATTTCAACACAACGTGGTGCGATCATCCCCCTTGCGTGAAGTGAGGGTTCTCGACCCCGCACAACATGATCTACTCGACCACCATTATGGTTACCGCAAAGAAAAAAAGAGGTAAAAAAAAAACGGTAACCTGGTTGCCGAGTTCACGAAGCGAGTTGGCTTGTTTTACAACGTCGTTGCCAAATGACGAAAACTCAATCCCGATGGCAAACACCGAGGGGGGGTGAGAAATAACTATTCTGAACAATCTCTAATGTCGATCTAGTTTCTAGCTCTTTTCTGCTCAGCTGGCGCTCTTATCCACAACGGGATGAGGAGCTGATGATGTGCTCTTGATACACGAAATCGATGTTGCAGTCGGCATGTGTTTGTTACGGTAGTCTGCAAGTCTTCACGCTGTCAGCGACTACAGCTGTACTCCGACAGCCGACACCTCTTCCAACTACTGGTACATGCTCGTGTTGGTGTTGCTGATGTTGTTGTTGTTGTTCTTCATCTTCTTCCCAGTGAGAACCGCTACGGTCTTCGCTCAGTACCTTCTAACATCCGTACCGGTGCAACTGACGCGGAAGCCTGCCGTGGTCACAGGCCAACTACCCGAGAAGGGTACAAATTCTCTACTATTCTCCTCAAACAACGGAAATAATTAGACCCAGTAAGAACCCTTCAACACGATGCTTGTACTACTGCTGTACATGGCACAGATCACAAAAACTATCCGCGAGACGGGCGAGCCCGGAAAAAAATGACTAGCAGACAAACCGGGAGGCCCTGTCCAAACAATAATGACACTGCGCTAGCCTTGCCTCGTAGAACAACAGCAGTACATGGGGTGCAAGGTGTTCATTCGGCATGCCACCGTCACACCGACGATTGTCTAGGAGTCAAGTCGACACACGACATCAGCGTAGATCATGGCGGAGCTCCTTCACAACGACTTTTCTCGTGTGTGCAATGAAGCGCACCACGTGGGGTTCTTCAAACGCTCGTTCGCCAAGCATCTGCGCCCTTCGGCGCCCCAACGACCGCGAGCCCGTCAAACGGCACAAGCACGTGGAGGGCGTTCCTCGACATGTAAAAGCAAAACCCCACGACAACATCGAACAGCCTGCACTTTGACATGGTGCGGCGGTTCGTGCATGTGGGTGTTTTTAGTTCCAAGTTCCATCTCCCCTTTCCTGTACGCTTCGCATTTCGCCCATGCCACGCCTGTGGACACCCACACGCGCACGTTCAACAGGAACATTAACATTGGGAAGTTGCTACAGCTGTAGCTCCCTGTGTACCGGTTGTGGCCTATGACACGCGGGACCCGTGTTGATGGTGATGGCCATCAACGCGTACTGCCCTACGACCTACTTCAGGCAAAACCTCGCAACTCGCTTATGGCGATCGCCATGAACGCGTGCTGCCTTGAGACCTACTTGAGCCAAAACCTCGCAACTCCCACAGTTGGAGATGAGAGCTTATGGCTCAGGTAGGTGTCAAGGCAGGTCGCGCTCTTGGAGATTGCCAAAAGCGAGTGGTGAGGTTCTGGTTGATGTATGTCCTTGGGCAGTATGCCCTGATGGCTGGCGAAAAATGTGGGTTCTCACTCCACAAAGAGGAGGACGATGTCCCTCGTGTCATAGGTCACAACCGCTGCACGAGGAGCTAAGCAGTAAGGTGTATTTCCCGATGTAGCTGTCCGTGTTCGACGTGCGCGTGTGGGTGTCCACAAGGGTGTCATGGGCGATATGCGAAGCGTACAGGAAAGGGTCGGTGGAATTTGGAACTACACACAACCATATGCACGCATGAACCGTGCCGTGTGAAATTGCAGGCGGCTCGTTGTTGTTGTGGTATTCCTCCTTTCCTGCTTGATATGCTTGCGGAAATCAACGAAAGCGCCGTCTTGTGCCCGTCGAAGAGGCCGTTGTATTCGGAGCGCCGAAGGCACCGATGGTTATCGAAGGAGTGTTTTGAGTATCCCCGCGTGGTGCCCTTCGTTGCACACACGAGAAGACTTCGCGGTGATGTAGTACGCGGATCTCGTCTGCTGTCGATTTGACTCCTGGACAATCGGGGCTGTGAATGTGGCACGCCGAAACGCAACTTGCAACGTCTGAGAATTGCACCAGGGGAGGCAAGGGGATAGCAGTGGTGTTGGCGTGTTGGCATCGTCTGTGCGGTGGAACTGTGATCGTTTCGCGAGAAGCGGGTTGACGTTTGGTGTACCTGTGGGTGCGAGAAGACTGCGGTACACAGCGGAGCTTCGTGCTAGGCTCGGACTCGCATACACGGTAACTAATCAAAAGACGCGTGCTTTGCTTCAGGGCTGCTCTCCGCGACCCTTTGACCCAAGAATCCTCGATTTGTCTCCAGGAAGCCACCCACCACAAGTCTAGGGGCGTCCATTCTTCCAGCTCGTCGTGGGTGCAAGCGCGTGCTTTCCATGTCATCATCTTGTTTGTTTTTTTTCTTCGACAACTTTACTGCCCCATTCACAACAGGTTCAACAGCCACCTGGTCGACCTGCGAAAGTCTCGCTTAGTCGTTTGGCAGGAGGTTTGCATATGTCCTTCCAGGGTGCGCTGGGCTGTCCTGCACTGCTGGACGAACGAACGCGCATAGCTCCTCCTTTTCTCCAGGAGGAGGAGGAGGTGGCGGCCATGTTTCATCCCCGCGTAGTGTCCTAAGTCTACGATTGCGATCTTCGGAGATGCCTTTGTTTCCGCATTCCCCCTCCCTACAAGAAATATCATCGTCTCGCAGGGCCATTCACCCCCCCTGCTCCTCCGCTCCTTCGTGCCGACCGCATCGACGATGACGGTGTCGACCCCACCCCCCCTGCAGATGGCTAATTTCGAGGATGGCATGCCCACACCGTACATCCCTCCGGACAAGAACACCCTTTACGTCAGGCCCGCAGGTACGACAAAGGTTGTTGCAAACTCGGTGTGTGTCCTCCCTTCTTCCCCCCTGTCTCGCCGAGAACAGTTAAATCACCGACCAACAAACGTCCATCATCATCGTCATGCATGAATGTAGCCTGAATGCACGTGACGCACTGGTTGGAGAATGAGGTGCTTCATATTGTTGCACAGCCGCTTGTTTGTCCAGCGTCAAGAATTGGAACGGAGGTTTTGGATTCGCGCGTGCCTTGCGACTCAAGCGTTGGCATGTCGCACTCGCCCATCAACTGTTGCCCCTCTGTACCGACTGCTTGAGGCCTTTTATGGTTGAAAGTATTGGGTGGTGCAGGATGTGTCGGATTCACAATACAAACTGCTCGGTCGTCCAACCACTAGCTTCTCACTTTTCCAAGGGAAAAAGACGCGGGCTTCTGTGCGGTCACCGACTCAATTGATGTTTCCGGCAAGAGTCGTTGCGTTGAGCACTAAAAAGCGCGCTCGACAATACACTTCACCACGACGACCACCCCACAAAACCGTCGCAGAGGCGCTTCGAAGGATGGACGTGTCCAAGCTCATCGTGATCTGGCCCAACAACGTCGACTCGACGAGGACAATCAAGAGGGGCAGAAGAATACCCAAGGCTAGCGGATGTGAGTAGCATTATTAGCGTCCATTCCCCTTTTGTTACGGGGCGGGGGAGGCGGGGAGGTGCCGTGCTGTTCGATCGGCGAGACACTACAATCGTCGTCTCACCTAAGAACATTCGCTTTTGACTCGGGGCTCCGCAGATTGCGTATGACACGTGCCCCCTGCTTCCTTGGGGGTCATTTTTCCTTCATTGTTTTTTGGGGGATGACGTGGTTTTTCGTTTTGAAACACCGCATTCTTTTGCGGCCGGTGTAAGCTAGCAATGGGCGGACGGGGACGTTGTTTCAGCCCCGTATTTACCCATCGACTCCTTGAAGATTCCACACCGCTCTGTTCCTTATCTTGCATGTGGTAACGTGGTTGTGCATCATGTGTGCTGGAAGTCTTTTTGACGGTACCAAGGGCGTTGCGTTCGCGGAATGAGCCAACGACGTTGCACTTTTTCAGCACCAGCACCACTTTCTTCTGCCGCTCTCGCTCGGTTTGGGTCTGTCTGTTGCATGTTTGTCCGTGTAGAAAGAGCAGTCGTCTAGGCCGGCCTGTCTCTCCCGCCGCTGTGAAGCGACCCGCGGACACCTCAGCAAAATACCACCGTTCCGTTGGGTTCTATTAAATGATACCATGGTATTTACCACAAGTGGTCCCCCGGAGTGGGCTCTCAGGAGAGCACAGCAGTGCGATCAAGGGGCGATTCAAGATGAAAATAAAAAGCAGGCCGTAAAAGCAGGACGCAGGACCAACCGACAAAGCTGACATGTTTTTTGACTCGAACAGCCCAGCGAACCGCAACGAGCAAAATCTGATATTGTACAGCCGTCTTTGCATCAATTTACCAACAACGTGTCTCGTGTCCACGTACGCACGGCGCTGCCTGCTTGCCGCCGGGAGAAGGTCCGTCACCCACAGTGGAGGACATGTCCCAGGTGCTAGAGTTCTTGCAGCTCTGGCACGCCGTCGAGCCGTACAAGGCCTACCCCAGGGAACCGTGGGTCTTGGGGCGAGTGAGGGTTAGGCTTGTGGACGAGGACGGGGTTCCGTGGAATCCGGAGGTGCCCGACCGTAAGTACCCGTCGTTTTTGTGGGTATATCTCGAACGGGTTGTCTAACTTTGATTGTATGCATACAGTATTTCCTAATAGTCTATGTTGTTTGAGTAAGCAAAGTGAGGGTTAGGGTCCGCGTGCCCCCTGTGTGGTCTTTTTTCGTATTGACGTTACTTTCTTGTGAGTAGGAGTCGCGGCGGTATTCCCGACTTGTTGGCGTCAATGATCGTGCGTTGGTTTTTGCTCCTTTGTTGTTGGCGCTGCTGTATCAGTCGTTGTTCTCCGATGCTTTCATGTGTGTGCTGCGCTGCTGTTGTGGTGTCCTCCTGTCGTTGTTGCTCCTTTCGGACGTGTCCCTCCGATACTCGAGGTAAGTTTGCGCCGTGGCTCTGCGTAGTATTTGTTGGGGTAACATGGCGTCCCCCCGGCGTTCTGTCCCGGTAACTGTCGTTCGTGTAAACGGCCCCCACCACCACCTTTGCCTCAACGCGAAACGGACAACAACGCAGGACCATCGTTGATGAAGAAAATGGGGGAGCTGATGCCCAACCTCAAGAGCCGAATCGACCGCATCTCAAAGGCCAAGAAGGACGCGGAGGCGTTAGCGAGGGCGGAGAAGGAAAAGGCCGCCGCCGCAGTGGCCGCCGCGTCCCAGTCGAACATGAAGAAGAAGGGGAAGAAGAAGGGAAAGCGATAACGTTTGCCCAAGGTAGTGGAGGGTTGTCTTCCTTTGGTGTCGGCGGGCGGAGGAGCAGGGTTAGGGTTAGGGTTAGGGTACTTCAAAGTACGGCCGCAGTACAAAGAATGCTCCTTGCCATTTTTGTCGATGGCATGACTGTCTTCTATGTAGGGACGCTACAGTAGCTATTTGCAGGTCTTGTATGGCGCAAAATGTGTCTTCCTAAAACAGGGGACCCGGCCCGTTCTTGCCGCTTGTGGGTAACGGGTGAGTTGTCAACCCTTATCGCAACACGCGCGCTGACGACAGAGTTGTTGTCTGCGCCTCGGGTGTGTGGTCGGCCACACACCTGTTGCTCCTTCCTCCTAGGTGCTTGTGAATCCATTCTTGTCGCTCGCGAGTTTGGGCATCTATCTCTCGAGGAGGAAGAGCAGCGAGTTGCAAACGTGCGCATCCAAATATTCTTGTACAGCCTGGACCCAGTCGAAAAGTCGATGGTTCCGGAGTGGATTGGCGTTTGGGGGTCGGAGCGCCTCGCCATCTCGTCGGTGCCTGCCTCCGTAAACAGCAAGCACGGCATCCCCCCATATATATGTACACATGGCCCAAATCCCTTTGTTCCCGTTGACACCGGGGTACATACTTCCATTTTGCGCGGTAAATTGATTTGAGACACGCGTGCACGTGCTTCCATCGATGATCCAGCCACGAAACAACGCGGAGCCTGCTTAGGGGGGGCGCGGCGTACGAATCCAGGAAGACCCCGTCCTGTTCTCTACGCGAGGTGTCCTAGATCGAGTATGTACGACGCTCAGCACAGCCGGCAGTGTAGCGTTTAATAGAGGTAATTCCGTTGTCCCTTCGTCCTCCTCGCCTTCGATGCCTCCCTTTTCGATGAGCCGTAGCACCGACCGGAGCTCGCAATTCGCTGCTTGCGGGGGTGTCCGAATCACCGACTAATTTTTGGGCAAGAGCACCTGGAATGACAAGGTTCACGACGGCGCCCTTTCCGAACGGAATAACGGTGTCTGTCGTATAAGTTGTTGTACCTCCCACACACCCTGCCACAGCTATTAATAGCTGTGTGACGCATCGTCCAGCCTGCTTTGAGCTGGAACTGGAAGCAGAGGGTGCTGCTCGTCACATTAGTGTGACACGTGAGTGCGTGGCCAAAAAAAACGCACGGAACGCGCACGCAAGACGCCTGCTTTGAGCTAGAGCAAGCAGAGAGTGCTAGACACAGATGTGTGTGTGTGTAGCCAACAAAGAGCGCACATGACACGCGCGCCAAGAGTTCGAACAGCACGGGATGGACGCTCTTGCGTCTCCTGCGTCAGCACCGCGCACCCACCATGGCTTTCCTCTTTCACGTTTTTTCAGGACTCTTAGGATGCTCGTGACTAGCCCTTCTGCGATAACACCAATATCGTGGGGGTAATGACACCAACATTAGTCGTATGACGCCCGATACGGTCATCCGACAACCTTAATTCCTCGGCAAACCGGATGAACAAAATAATGAACATCAAATAAAACGAACACGACACACCTAAAAAAGACGACGAAACGACAAGTATTCTATCAATCTAACAAAAGGTGGAGCAAGGCTAACTTGCATTCCACGACCTCTCTCCAGAGATTGACCCTGACATCTTCACACAAAGACTTATACGCAAGAGTCCAAACGCTGCATATTTTCCCTGGGAATCTCCGTCCGAAGACAAGAGACCCAAACAGACTCTCTCTCTTCTAAAAGTGTCCATCAACGAGCCCGATGTGAAGCTAGGCCGCAGAGAGGAGTCAATAGTCGATCGTCCATGCGGAGGCCAGCAGTTGGAGTTCGCGAGACCACCACCGCCGCCAAGAGCCACATAGATTCGACAAAGATCCGGCCGGCAGTGGAACGACGGCAGCGAGAGATACACGGAGGGGGGGGGGTTGGGTGACAGTGGCCGCCTTCGGGATGCACTGACAAAGAAGAACGCAGCATTTGTACACAAGTGGACGAACTTTTCATTCAAGTGGCAACGTACATAGATTGGAGCATAGATAGAGTCCATCCGGATAAATCTTGCCACGACCTCCCAGGATCACTCTGGAATTGATTCCGAGTGACTGACGTAACCCCTGTGACATACTTTATATCCTGAGAAAGCTCTGTTTGAGGCGGATCGTTTGATTTGAGCAGATTTTTTTCATCTTTTTTTATAGCGAGAATATCGTAATTTTGTCGAGATTGTTCAAGACTTTTAACGGTTTTATTTGGTCGAATGTGAGGTCTGATTTTTTTTTAGACCGATTTTGAGCGTGTCACGTCGAGGAGGTCAGGCCGACCCAACCCAGTATTTTTTTCGCGAATGTGCTACGGAGAAATGGGCAAAAAGGCGCATTTCCAGGCGATCTAAAAAAAAAAACGTTTTTCGGGGAAAAATTCACCGATGGAATTTGAGAAACTCGACGGATTCGGACGAATCACACCTGCACTCACGACAAGTATATTTTTCATTTTTCCGAAGAAATTTTGTTGGCGAGATATTGCCCTTCAAAGCTTGGTGTGTTCACACACCACGCATGACCACATGGCACACCACCATCCACATCACACAGCCGTAGTACCACAAGCCCCCACAAGGGCCCACACGAGCCCACACATGGCTGGGCGTCCTCCCGGCAAACAAAAGAAGCGCGGCAGCTTCCAAACAAGAACAGGCGGTGGCCGGTTCGGCGCGAAACTGCCACCTGCAGAACCACTCGCTGCGGAAGCTGCGGACACTCCACCACAAGATGAAAACGACACGTGTGATGAAGGAGAAGACGAAGAGAAACACAGCAGCAGCAGCAGTAGCAGCAGCAGCCAACACAGCAGTGACAGCGACCTCGGCAGCTGTCGCTCGGGCAGCTCGGGAGGGGTCACGTATCTATCTTGATGGATTTGTCTCTGTAGAACAAGTGTGGCTTTTTTGCTGCTGCGGAGAGGGTGCTGAGAGGGTGGGAGAAACAAGCACGGATAGTCCACGGGTAGGCCTTTGCTCCATCGGCCGCGGCCGAAAGAGTCGATTTCTGAAAATTTCGGCCGGAAAACGGCCAAGAAAAAACGGCCGATTTTCCAAACAAAGCGGCCGATTTTGGCCAGAGCTTAGCCGAATTAGGATTGCCTGTAGCAGATTTTCAATCGGCTACGGCCGATTTGTAATCGGCTACTAGGGCAGAGTTCCGATTTCAACCTGCCGAATATCGAAAATCGGTTGCCCCCCTCCCCCCTTCTCTTCATAAATACAATATTGGTTTGGGGGATACCTACCATACCCTTTCCGACAATATTTTTGCACTTAGGGGGGGGATCTTTGGTCTTTATTTACCAAGAACACAGCAACAAGCATAGGCTACAGGAGAGGTATGCGCGAGGCGCAATAGTATATTAAAATCGCACATATACCGCTACGGCCGAGAAGAAAATTGCACAATTTGTGGTGGCCGAAAAACTTAAGGTGGCCGGAAAAAAATGAGGGCGGTCGAAAAAGAAAAAAAAGGGGCCGAAAATGGACAAAAAGGGGCCGAAAAAAAAAAAGAACGCCGAAAAACAGAAAAAAAAAGTGGCCGATGGAGCAAAGGCCTATCCACGGGGGCCACAACGTTGCGACTTCAGATTGTGTGCTGGAGCGTTTCGGGGCAATGTATGCCGTTTCGGGGCAATCTCGGGGTAATATCGGGCCGTTTCGGCGGTAACATCGGGGAAATTCCCCCCCCCCCAAAACGGCCATTGTTGCCGAATTTATTTCCAAGGTTAGGTTCTGTAGGGTACCCACAGATCTATACCGGGGGTAATTACCCTCTGTTTTACCCTACAGAACAATTCTGTGAGTTCTGTGCCCGTAGCGCCACAATACCCTACACTTCTGTGAGTTCTGTGACGGTTGCACCACAGTACCCTACACTTCTGTGAGTTCTGTAGCACACACGGTACCCCACAGAGATTACCCTCTTGTTCTGTATACAATACCCTAACACTTCTGTGGGTTCTGTGACGGTCGTGCCACAATACCCTACACTTCTGTGAGTTCTGTAGCACATCCCGTACCCCACAGAGATTACCCTCCTGTTCTGTATGCCGGCGGCACAATTACCCGCGGTACGGGTAAACATTTGTGGAACTACCCTCCACATTTGTGATTACCCCGGGATGCTGACGTCAGTCCAACTTGAAGCGTACCCTCAAAAAACACCACACAACACACAGAGCAAGACCCTCCTTCAGCAGAGAAACAGAACACATCTGGTACATACAGCAGAACAAACACACCGTACGACACGCGGTATCGGGTTCAGCGGGAGCATGAGCGATGCAGACCTCGGCAAAGTTCACCGCAAAGTTCACCGGCGCGAGGGACGCTGACCTGAAGGCCGCTGAGGCCGCCTTCGACGTGGTGAACAACACCGCGAACGACATTGGCGTGTAGACTGACTGTCGGGGGGTGGGGTGGTCAGGAGAGACCCCTCTTCGCTTCTCGCTACTGCTGCTGTCGTGTTGGGAAAAAGTCGGATGGGAACGGAGTTTGCCCCTTGCCTGCTGGCGAGGAGTAGTCGTGGGGGCGCACCACGAAATCCTTTGCACTCAGGTTTTCAGTCTTGATCTTTTTTTCGTCGTGCAGGTTTTTCCCCCTCTGGGAAGTGGAGAGGGTAGAGGAAAACGTAACATAGTCTAAACGTGAAATGCTTTTTGTTTATGTTTATGTTTTTTTTTTAGCAGTAGTCCTCCGCTGTCACCTGGGAAGTTGAGGACTGGGATATATAGGGGCCGTACGCAAGCACGCTTCATGTTTTCAAGTCTTGGTTTAGTACCTTGAAACCGAGTCGAACCAAGGCAAACTGCAGTGTGCAAATACNCTGTGAGTTCTGTAGCACACCCGATACCCCACAGAGATTACCCTCTTGTTCTGTATACAATACCCCAACACTTCTGTGAGTTCTGTGACGGTCATGCCACAATACCATTTCCTTCTGTGAGTTCTGTAGCACATCCCGTACCCTACAGAGATTACCCTCCGGTTCTGTAACAGATCCAATACCCCACAGACATTACCCGTACCCTACAGAACCTAACCTTGGAATTTTTTCTTAACACCGGATTTCGATGCATCTCGGTCGTGCGGTTCTTGCCAACTTGGTTTCACGTTTCAACTCTCGAAATTGAGCGAGAAAAAGTGGGGGTCACGTTGTGGCAAAATTTAACCGGGTGGGCAACATGTACACAAGTTGCAACGTGCATAGCTTGGAGCTGCTCCTACCAGGTAGAAATGCTATGATGCTATGTGTTTGTGCGAGGGATAATGATATAAAGCGATGAACGATGAACGTATGATGCCTTTCTTCAGTGTGGCCACGGCTGGTGCGTCCAGAATATTGTACCGAATGGTGGCAGGACCGGCATCCAAAAAACATGGGACCAAAGAAAAAAAGAAGGGGGTTGTGGATTATCAGAATATAGCGGGCGCAGTACAATCTTCTCTCGGAAATTCCAGCAAGAGCCCTAGGGTGTCCGCCATGGGGTCACGCGTGTACACCGCTGCCCAGTTCTATTAGGGGGGACTTGAAGCCAAAACGTAAACCAACGACCAACCATCTTGATGTTGTGAAAAAAGCTCAGTACCCACATCCCTCTCGACTGTGGTAATCTTTCTGTGAGATCATGTATTCTTTGTAAAAAAAGAGGAGGGGGCGACAGAGTACGAAGAATAGCATTCTTCGCACTCGCGCGTGGAACCGGCGTCGTGTAACTGGCAACAAAATGAATGAAACAATGGCATTCTAGTAAGATGCCACTAGCCTTGAATGTCCGGGCTGACTTGTAGTCTATAGCTATGCATCTTAACACAAGCGGCAAAAACACATGGGACGCTGCTTGCCGGTTAGGCTACACATGGAACAACTACTCCCAAGAATCGTGCGGACGCAACGAAAACTGGCATAAAAATTTGTGTGGTACCTGTTTCATGCCCCCGCGGGAGATGCAGAAGTCGACCTGAATCAGCTCTGCGATCCTAAGGCCCACCCCTTGCCCCCGTTCCGCCCGGAATCCCCCCGGAGCCGCCATATCCGCAACCGTGCGGGGCAGCGAAGGCGGCGGGGGGGGCGGAAGCTGTCCGTCCCCGGACGACGACGAAGTAGGCATTTCTATTCGAAGAAGCGGTGCGAAATCAAAAGAGGCACAGGCTGAGGGCTAAACAAAGGAGAGCTGGCGTCACTGCTGTTAAAAGTTTCAGTGTATAGGCTTCCGTCATCACTGTTAAAATTTTTCGTGTGTAGGCAGGCGCAAGTAACTTGAAAATAACTCAACAACACTTCAAGAAAGAGCCACAACAACGCATGGGCCACCGCCCCCCCCCCCCCCCCCCCCCCCCCCCCCCCCCCCCCC